GGCTGGGGGGCTCCGGCGGGCCGGGTGGGTGTTGTGGGGAGAGGCCGCTGCCGCGCTTCCCCACGCAGGAGGCCAGGCGTGCCTTTACATTCACGCGTGCGAATTTAAGGTAGCGTCTCGCTGCCCTCACGGAGTTCGTAACTTTTAAATGGCTCCTCTGGCAACCGGCGCGGCCGTGGCTGCGGTTACAAGTCTTGGTGTTTATCCGGTGTGTTTTACAACTCCTTGCTCATTCCTGCATTCAGTTTCATATACATCTATAACGTAAATATTGTAACGTTGCACCAAAGCAATGATTTTCAAAAGGAGGGTCAAGAAGGGCTTGCTAAAACTACATATGCTTTTGAATCTGCTTAGTGTATTTGCTATAGCTTCACCCACGGGGAGAAGTGTAGAGCGGGTGGGGTTGGGTTGTCAGTTTTTGTGGTTGGTTTTTTTTAACTGAATAGGTGAAGTATTTAACTTTTGGTGGAATTGTGAAGTCAGTGGGGGGGAGTTACTCGGAACAGGCTGGCTTCCATCTCCTGGGCACGTAAACAGCTGTTCTTGCTTCCTGATGTATTTTTTATTCCCGAAGCAGCGAAGCACTCTTATCTCTTCAGTTTCTGAATCTCCTCATCCCCTGTGAAGAGGACAGGGTTTTAAATATCTCTGGATTTCAAAATATTCTTTTGCAATATATTTTCAAATATTTTGGGAACATACTACTTCCTATATTCTTTTGTGTTTGCTCTAAGACTTTTCCTAGCAAATTAAATTGATTTCAGGAAAATGAGTATGGGTTTTGGGAGAGGGGAGAACTGCAGGAAAGGCTTTGGAGGCCTGTGGACATCTGGATGAGCCATGTTCCCTTAGCGTCCTGACTACACAGGAGTAGGCCCTCTTCTCTTCTGTGCACCCAATCCCATCCTCCCCCCCAAGAGCAGCTTCCCAGTACTATAAGCCAGCTCCAGCTTAAAACACCTTCAGAATTTTAGCCAAAAGCTTTCTGGGGTGAGGAGTGGGGGAGAAAGTGCCAGCTATCAGCAAAGTCTATGATTAGAGCTTGATTTTGCATTTGATTGCACTCGCTACATCTTCACACTTGCACAGTGTCCACTGGGTGTCCAGGTTGCAGGTTGTGCTGCTGTGCAGCCAGATATCAGGCTTGGATATTTTATTTTCGGTTGAGATGCTGGGATGCATCATTTGCTGAAGAATGAACAACGATTGTTGTCTTCCTATGTACAGCTGGTTGGGTTCATTTCTTTTCGTTAACAAAGAACATGGAAGCTAAATGCCATGAATTACATCTCAGTGGTGCAGACTAGCAGTCCCTTTAGCTTTCGGTTAGGCCCCCTCAACCAGACTGAACTTCTTTGTCCAAACTGCAATTTAAATTGGCTTGGTCCCCATTTCTTCAGCGCTGCAAGAGTACTCTTAACTTCCATGTTCAGAAAGGTGAACAGCGTTGGGACTGCTGCAGCACGACAGAGTGCTGCATTGGCATCGTCCCCTAAGGGAAGAGGAGCAGAGAGAAAAATGTGTTGGACCACAGAGTTCATAGACGAAAAGATGCAAATATAACAGATTACTTTGTCTGAAAGAGATTGAACGCCATGTCCTTAAACTATGGAATCATATTTTATAGCTCAAAGAGGTAATTTTATATTTATTTTTAAATATGAAGATGAGAAACACTGAATATTAAGGAAGGATGCCAGACATGGTCCACCTCAAAAATATTTTTGAGGGTAATAAAGAAAGTGCTGGCATTCTTTAGCCTGGACAAGCTACATTCAGCCTATTTCATATTAATGAAATTGGGCTAGGTTTTAAAATATTTACTCAGCAGTCGTTAAACAGTGCATTAATTTTCTTTGCTGCAGTGAATAATGACTGTTATTACTTGTTAATAACAGTTAATGACTGTTTTTTTTTTTCCAGGTAGCAATTCATCTTGACAGTTTGCTAGCTATTTGGTTCCTGTTCTGCTCTACGGTTTTTTTCATACAATCCGTCATAATACAAATCTTCTGTGCTACTTCCATTTTTTCTTATTATTTCCGTCTTTCCCCATACCGTGTTCTCTTTCTCCTCCACTGTGTTCTCTTTCTTTTAGCGTTTTGATCCTATGCTGCCACGCATCCATTTTTGTATCATTACGTACATGCAAATTGGAAAGTCAGCAGTACATCAGATAATCAAAATATGCAACCGACTAGTAACAGGCAATTTAAAAAAAAAAAAAGAGAGCATTTAATCACCATTCAAGAATAGCTGTATTCCTCCTAGAGGTTTCAATACATGTTTGAAAAGCAAATTTATAGTGACAACCTGCTGTTTGGAGCCAGCTTCTGATGGCTCTTTCTAGGAGACCACCTCCGGCTTGTCATGTTGGAAACTCAAGGCAATCCTCTCGTGCTGGAAGGCTTCTCCTGCTTCTCTCAGCATTTATTGTTCCTCTTCCAGTGTCAAGCCTCTGCAGAGGGGAGGATCTCGCTGACCCCAGCAGTAACTTCATAGCTGCTTATTTCAGTCTGGTGATAGAAAGCGCCTGGTGTTTTTTCTGTTGCTGTAAGAAAATTCTTTAGGTGTCTTTTTTTCTTTTTACCTCGTCAGAAAAGTTTGCGGTTAGTCTTTAGCTGATTGCAAAAGGTAACAATTTTTTTGTTCCTTGTTAGAACTTTGTGTAAAAAAAAACAAAACAGAACACTTCTAGTTTTCTGGTTGTCTTGACATCTTTTTAAATTACTGCTTATGTGCCAGCATATAATAGTTTTCCTAAAGAAACTGTTAATAATCTTGGCTTTCTTCAGATATCTCAATCAGTGCTAGCAGTTTTGGAAGATGTATGGGTTGTTTTGGGCATTACTGGCTTCTTTAGCTTGCTTTCTACATAGACAGGTGAGAAGTCTAAAATTACTGACATGTTAGGAGGGACCATTTTCTCTGTCCCTTAACTCTTCCTCTAACTGTCGCTTTCCCCATCACTTTTGTGGCTTAGGTTGCAAAGGGCTGGGAAGATAAAAATAGCTTCAAATATAAGATTAAAATCTCAGGAGAGAGCGTCAGGAGTGACATAACATTTAGCATCTGGAACACCACTTAAAATTCCCTGAAATCAGTTTGCATGGTCGCCATTGTTTCCTCTCTGTATGCATGGGCTATACTGACAGATCAACTCAATTTTCATCCATTTCGGATAATTTTTTGTAACAGGCTTTATCTGTCAAGAAGCATATTTTGACAGCAGATATTTCCTGGAGGTCCAAGTCTGTGCGTCCATTGCAGTAGGATGTATATGTCATGTCACTTTTTCTGATTGATTTTAGTATTGCAGGATGGAAAATTTCACAAGACAATTGCATTAATACTGTTAAGTATTTGCTTGGCTTTGCACAAAGCCTCTGACTTTTGTTGCCTAATTAGTCATCTGATATCCTCCCCTACCCTCCTTGTTTTGAAACTTCCTCATTTTGAAAATTAAATGGCCTCTTGTGTTTGACTTTTTGTTCCAGCTATGCAAAGGCTATAACTGCACCGCAGTGAAATCTAGGAAACACATAGCTGCTGGTCCTATACCTTCATCTCGTGCGTAGGAAAACCAAAATTCATCTCATGCTTTCTCCCAGCTACTGGAAACAATACAAAAAGAAAACACATGATAACTCACAGAAACCAATCCCACTTTAAAATACCTGTTTCTAGTTGTAACAAATTATGCCAGTGTTTAAAGTCCGTGGCATTGTGTAAGACATTGTGTTTTCTAGATTAATGCATTAAAAACAGATAATGTGATTAGCCCAAAGAGAACATGGACGTTAGTTAGATTCTTTGTCCCAGATACGTAGCTGCTAGAGATCTTGTCTCAGTTTTTACTGGAGCCAGAATGCATTATAAGGACACACTGGTAAAGTAATCTAATTAGTACAGCCAAATAAATATTGGAAATCGAGGATGGGGTTGGGGGGAGCGGGGAAGTGGTGGAAGGATCCCTACATATTTTTGTTTCTGTTCTGTCTCCCAAACACTTGTGCTTTGGGAGCCTTTGTATGGAGTCCCAGAATAGCATGTGTACTTTTCCTTTTTCCTAGTGGGACGTACTGTGCTCTTAGGAGCTTACTGATCTGCTCAGATAGCTCAGAGACCAAATCTGGTCTGCTCTCAACTGGCTTGAAGCACAAGTGCAGCTAGCAGGCATTTGCTTGTATTTCACTGGGTAAAACATGCAATTATAATACATAATTAAACATATGTATATGCATACGTTTACAAGGGAAAACACCCTTGCATTCACTTTGAGTATGCCTAAATATAGTTCTCAAACTTCCATTTGTAACTAGCCATGCTTACAGGACTAAAGGTAACTAGTTTTTAGTTATATTCCTGAAATGTGCCCCTCATAATATTTAGCACCAGCTCAGCAGCACTTTTCCACACCAAGTAAAAAGTCATGCCATATAGCACATTCCTCCAGCTGAGTAATTTGCCCGAAGTTCAGCATTCTTTCTCTGCTCCAGCTACACAATGAAGCTTAACACTAAGCATAATTATGAATGATGCTATAAAACAAGATTATGAATTGAACGAACAGAACAAACTGGTCCATACTGAGATTTAAGGTTTCTGAACTTGTCTAAAGAATATGGTTTTGAAGTGCTCTTCATTGAATCACACTGAGTAAAAATGGGTTTGTATATTTATCATGAACTTGTGCTTCCCTTGGACTACATTCGGCAAGTTGTCTGAAGGTCTGTCAGACAGCACAGGGAAGCTGCTGTTTGTCCCCTACCTCTTGTATTCTCCTCTGCACCCTTTCCAAAGTCCCAAGACTTTCTCTTCCTTTATTATCAAATCATCATGAATTGAATTAGGTGACTAGTCCTAAATTCAAAACTAAGTAAGTCTGCTAGAATAATAAAATGTTTTAGCAAAGGAGCTAAATAGTAACGTGTCACTGTCTTTACAGTATGGAGAAGAGTGCAGGAGTAAAACATACCCTCCTTCAGGACCAACGTAAGTAATCTGATTCAACTTGTCTAACAAATTACAGAAAAGTAGTGATTTGCAAGTCTTAACAGGTTTTTTTTGTAACTTGTTCCTGTTGCAGATCTAGAAAATGCTAGTTACAGGTGGGAAGCACCTGTTTTGTCAAATGTTTTTTCAAAGCCTTCTTTAAAGTTGAACTCTGGTACTTATCTTTCAGGTTCAAAGGGAATGTACACACATTTGTCATAAATCTGGATTTACCTCCCAGCAAAAGATGGGATAACTTGGTGCAGGACAAAAAGACAGAGGTATGAAATGCAGAGCTTGCTTTGAAGCTTAGCAGGTATAAAACTAGCACGTGGCCTTTTATTTTGAAAAAAGGTTTGGAAAGGAATACCTGTGCTAAAATTCTCTGAAAGGGATAATATCTCTAGTTGACTTCTTTAATATTATTCTAGACTAAAATAATTGCTTGAGTCAAACTTTTTTGGCACTGATGTTTGGGATGTAGAGGAATAAAAAACGGTGCAGCATAAAGAAGGCTTTCATTTGTCAAAGCTCTTTAGTCATGAAGTAATACAGAACAAAGGGGGAGGAGTACACCAAAGGGACAGCCTCAGTAAACTGAAGTGAAACTGAGGCAGCATCCCTTCTCCTCCGCACATCCCTGCTTCTCGTAAAACACTGCATGAGATGATGAAATGGCGAGGGGGAAATGAAGAACTTCCTGCCCTTTTCAGGGATGTTGGTTGCAGCACTGGTGTTTACATAGCAGAAATAATTTTAAAAATACTCCAGCCTATTTCAAACTACTTAAACAGTTGTTCTGCTGAAGGTTGCTGAAAATTCAATTCAGTAATGCTTAATTTCTCAAAAAAGGACAGGGATTTTTGCTATATCCCTGCTGACTTTGACCTTTCAACTCTGAAAGCCATACAAATTCTACTTACACCGTAATACTTCTTTTAAAAGTCTCTTTTAAGCCAGTGGGCATTGGAAGCTTCAGGTTGCACCTTAAATTCTGAAGGTTTTTATCTGTCATGTACTTTGGAGTTAGATCAGATAGAGTGGAACTCTATTTGTGGCCATTCACATGTCGCAAATGGAAAGCATGTACTTCTATAAGAAATTTATTGAGTCTTTTTGGCTTCAAGAACACCAGTGCTTAAGCAAAGAGTTTTTAATTAACGTTTTTAAAGATAGAAGAGGGCAGAGTATTAAAATGGGATCGAAGGAGCAGAAGACGAGGATGGCTTTTTCCTGTAATTCGTTTTCTCTGATAGAGGGACATGTCAGAGCTAATCTAGAAAGTTATTTGAATAAAGCTTGAAGAGTGACTCTTTAATGGGGAGTTGGGTGTGTTTTTCTCACCGAGAATACCACAGTTAGCACTTTCTTTAAATACGTATTTTTTCAACAAAATGTTTTTTTGAAAAGTATGTGAAGGAGTTCTGTTAGTATTCTAGCAATTCTTATGCTCAAGATCTTCTATTCAATAAAAGCCTTTGTTCTTTTTAGCTGAAGACTGTGGTCCAGACTATTAAAGATATAGCAAATACCTTCTTCCCCAGCGGCAAAGTTGTTGACATAGTGGATAACAAAATAGTAAGTATTTTCAGCTTAACTATTTTATTACTGTATGCTCTGACTACTAGAATTATAATGCTACTAAATTTGGCAATTAAGAACTTTACAAGTGATAATTCTTCCACTTCCAGAACACAAATGCTGTTTTGAAGAGTTACTCTGAAGTTTTGCCTTCTTGCCTACTCTGGATTACTCTGAAACCATCAAACCTAAAATGCATGTGTCTCTTCCTCCTCTAATTTTTTCTAAGATCTTTTCGAATTTGGATTAGTCATGCTAGACATATATGCTACTGACTTAGTCACTGTAGCAAAACAAATCACTGAAATTCTTTGCCACGTTCAACTCCTTTTAAACAGTAGAATAAAATCAGGTTTTGAAAACTGTAATAAATGTCTGATTACAGGGGCAACTTTGACCAGGCCTCATCTTAAAAAATAATTCAGTTCTGATTAAAATAGACTTTGGCATAGAATCAGGACAGGGGAAAACAGTGTAGTGCTAGAGAGAGCACAAGGTCAAATCTGTCCCCCGTCTTTATTTACAGCAGCCTTCTGTCATGCTGGCCACACTTCATTTGTATCCCTGTGTGCCTGAGTGGGGTTGACATAAAGGTAGCGTATACAGGTAGTCATACCAATGTGTGAAAGTTAGGGATTCCCTTAAACACTGACATCAAGCTCAGTTCCAGTTGAACTCTTAACATTTAAGAGTCCTGCTTCACTCTGTTCTGTCTATTGCTGCTAACGATAATTAACATACTGTGCTAATCTCCATTGCTCATTTGTCAATATTTTGATAAGTAATAGTTTTTACTTTCCCTAAGTATGTACTTGTCTTCCAAGTACTCCACAAACATACTCAAGTTCTACAGGCTGCAGAGGAATTAAATACTCAATTTAATAGTTGTGAGAAGGATGTACCTATTGGGGAGAGGTTTGTTTTAAGTAACAAAATAGTGTTAATTTACACAAACAACATACAAAACTTTTCCTTTCAGGCTCATCTGACGGCCACACTTCCTTATCCTTTCAATGAAGAACTCCAAGGGATTGCAAATTCATCTGGGATTCCTTTGGGTAATAGTTTCCAACACTGTATTAATGTAGTGGAAAACTAGGAATCCAGACTCATTTAAATTTAGTATGTGTACCAATCTGCAGTATAGTTGTAGTCATCTGTGACTTTAACAAATAAATTATTAAGTAGGTAAAGCAATAAATTGCATCTCACACTAAATGAAAACAGTATTTTAGAGGAGAATGGCAATACATCACATAAGCCTTTCATCAGCCTGGGGCTTCTCTGTAGAGCTGTAGCTTCTCACTCCTGAGTTTTGGGAACTGGAGCAAGTCTCAGCTCCTGTGCACCAAAATGTGGGGGAATCCTTGATTCTCATTGATTTCCCATTCAGCTGTGTGTCTGCTGTTGACATAGCAAGAAGGCAAGGCTCAGTTTCATGCTGTGCTTTCTTTCCTTTGTGATCCTTGCCACATCCTCCTGCCTTCCTTCCACACCTCCTGCAAAAGAATGCAATTCCAGGTGAGAAGCAGACACTGAATTCTTCCAGAATTGAGACAGAGAAGGTCCATAGATCTGCTTCCACTGCTTCCCTCATACGGGAGCAGTACACCTGGTGCTAGTCAGCAGCTTTTATATGGGAATAGTGGTACATACAGCAGCTTTCTTCTTTAAAGTGAATTTTATAGCTTGTTTTGAAGTTTCCAGAGGAGGAAGTAGCAATGACTGTCAGCTTTCTGTACGGTAAGGCAGAAGGCCAAAGGATTCTGATCCTTCTGTTTGCCTTTCAGGAAGCTCTTGATTTTGCTGAACTGGTCGTTTCAAAGTTCAAATGAGATTTAAACAAGTTCTAAGAACTTGAGAAATAAGAACTAAGAGAAATATTGTAGAATGCTGAACTTTTCAGTATGCTTTTTTCTAACCAATTTTTTCTGTTCATGGCAAAAGTTTCAAACTATTAAACTTTGTTTCTTTTTGTTCTAGGGGAAATTGTTATTTTTAACATCTTTTATGAAATTTTTACTGTATGTACATCAATAGTGGCAGAAGATAAAACAGGTAATGCAACCCAGAATAGCGTTAACGGTTTTGTCTTATGTAGGAGAGGGTCCACCTCAATTATACAAACATAGATAGTCCTTCTCAACTGCAGGCAAGAAGGTCTAGTAGAAGAGACTAAAAGCAATGGTAATAAAAAGATATTCCTTGAGAAGGGAGTAAGAGATCACAGGTGTCTTAGGTTAAAAAAAAGGAAAAAATACTTGCAAAGATGGTTTGGTTTTGGTTTTGTTGGGGCTTTTTTGTTGTTGGTTTTGTTTTTATTTTGTTAATAGGTGGCATTTGTTTTTCTAGGGGAAAGAAACACCAGCCAGACACCTGATACTTTCTCAGTGCCATGAGGGATTCTAGTGCAATCCATTTTGCATCTAGTTTCTAGCTATCACATATGTATGGTGCTAGAGAAAATGGATAGTCTGTTTTAAGAAAAGAGACTCTTTCATTTTCTTACTCAGTTCTGCAGCCCTTGTCTGCACCTGTTCCAGCTTAAGAAATTTCTGAGGGATTCTCAGAGGGCTTACAAACATCTCACTTTAAGAGGAAGCTCAAGGTATTACCATTGCATTAAGATAACGTGGAAAGCATCTGAGGCTGAGATGGACAGCAGTTTACAAGATTACTTGATTTCAATTATGGCAAAACACTTCTCTGATCCAAAAAAACCCCACCATTTTTCTGCGCTTATGAAAAGGGCAACTAGACAATGGTATTTTCCCTGCTTACTTTCCCAAGTATTTTCCCTGCTTACTCATTTCCTGGTTTTCTAAGCTGAAATTTATGCCTCTTTCTTTAGAAAATTTTATTTATTTATTGTTATGTAGGGAAGCTGTACCATGCCAGAAACCTGGATTTTGGACTCTTTCTCGGGTAAGTACCTAAACTTGTGCCTTTTTTTTTTTTTTTAAAACCCAAATTAAAAGCTAGCTGATCCTGAAATTTCGACATGCATTCTTTGAGTCTAAGTGATGAATTGGATGTTGTTAAGACCGTGACAAGTAATTCGGCATTGCATGTTCTGAAAAAAGGCTAAAACAAACAAAAGGATTGTTCTGCTGATCTTACGTCAAACTATTCCGAGCTTGTCAGGAATGACTTTGTAAAACAGTTGTGTTCGGTGTTACTTAGTGTTTTCTCAGCTCCAGTTAAAATTGTCTCGAACCAAAGAATGGTCCATGTAACCTTATCTCTGAGGCGCAGTATATCTTATTCTTTACGTGATGGGACAGAAGCATCAATTTCAGTGTATGCAGTGAAATGTGGATTGGATTGGGGCTTGGTTTTGTGGTTGGTTTTTTTCCAAGTTATCCCCCTAGTTACTGTACTGGGCTCTACTGGCACTTCCCATCATTCATCCTTTCTACTCAGAAGCCAGTGATTTGTATTCCACTGATCTAACATTACCATTCATTTGGATACAAACTCTGTTGCTCAGCACTGGATTCTCTTTTAGTTCTCATTGCATATCTTGTGATCAGGTAGTTCAGTGTTTGCTTTTATTATCCCAGTATATTTTACAATGTCACTCATCCAGATGACTCTCAATGCCCAGGTGAAATTTAAATGTCCATCTTCATTAAAATTCTTACCTGCCTATCAAAAACTCAAATGTTGTCAACTGTGACTCTACCTGTCCCTTGGTTTGGCTTGTGTTGAACTTCTCCCACTTGTCAGAAATACTGAAAATTAAGGCAACTTTCAAAGCTGTTCCCAGAACCTAGATTGTTTCCAGAGAATTTAAGGGTCTGTTAAGTGTTCTTTAGCACCCTCTTGCCTACAAACTGTTCTGGCTTATCTTACAAACTAGAATTGGGACTTCCCTTCATGTAGAGCAAATCCAGTAGTATGTGGTTTGTTTTCTCCCTTTGAAAAGTAAGAATTTGAGGGAACTGGCTCACAGGCCTGTGAACATGTGTTCACAAGCTTCAGCTGCTTTCAGGATACAGTAGGTTTGGTGTCACAGGCAGTACCCGTAGCGGCCTCCCTTTGCCAACAGGAATAGAACAAAGTTATGGTGTGTGTTCAAAACAAACCAGCTGTAACAGTGGGGCTGTTTAATACTGAGTAGTGCATATGCTCATGGTTCAAATAAAACCTGGTTCTTTTCACTGACTGCCTATGCATTTAGACTGCCTGGTTGTCCCTTGCTGGTGCTGCTCAGGTAACTACTCAGCAGTGGTGTTGGCTGACATGAGTAAAATCAGAGGACAGGCATCACACACAGGAAATCTGCACGCTGTGAAGGGAAGTTTTAAAAGCTACCGAGGGAGGGAAGTTTCAAATGCTGTACCGTCTGCCGCAGGTGGGATGTTAAAAATAATTCCTGGACTTTAACTCGGGAACTGAAGCCTACAGTGGTAAACTTGGACTTCCAGAGAAACAACAAGACAGTATTCAAGTCTACAAATTTTGCAGGATACATAGGCATGGTGTCTGGAGTCAAACCGGTAAGTATGGGGAGGAGGGCTTGTCAATTTGTTAATAACGCTTCAGACTTTCCTTTGAAATGTAAATTTTCCTGCTTTCATCTTCTGCCTTGGGATATTTTTTAATAAATGATCTCTTAATTGTTCTGGTACACAGTATAGCTATTTGAAGAAAGGTAAAAGAAAACAGTGCTGCACTCCTCCTTGTAAAAGGATATTGCCTAAATGAAATACTCATGTTTGGACAATTCTTAAAAATAATGTTGAATTCTGAATACGAACAGGAGTGAATACAAAGTGCTCAAGTGGTTGGAGTTTCTCGCTAGCAAATATATACTGCTGTAATCCCAGAGGTGAAACGGCATACTTCTGCTATTTTAATTCTTTCTCCAGTCTTTTTTGGAAAAGGAGTCCTACACCGCAAGATTTTTTTTTTTAATAGGCACCTGAAATCTGTGTTTTATCTACATCTTAAAAAACAGCAGTACAGAACTACACCAGGGTCTCCAGCTTACCACAGCTCCTCCTTTTCTACACGCTCTGCCTTTATCCTCTATTATAGGTGGCCCTTTTCATAGTAGAGCATTTCTGGCATAAATCCCTGCATTGTACTCATTTATTTTTGTCTTCTGGTCAAATAAATTGGGAAGAGTCCGTTCTGAAAATGATCCAGTGTAGCTGAATTCCACTTTCCTCTGAAAGACACTAGTTGGAGAGGACTAGGATTTGAGTTTGAATTGCATGTTGCAAGTAGTGCAGATTGAATTGTGTACAGCTGCATGCCCATGTGAACAGCAATAACATATCAGGGTGTACTTAGCACTGGGACTTAAAAATCTGCCTTCAAACTGGAATAGTATCCAGAGGTCTGAGAAGAAGGTTACATACAGCGGGGGAAGGAAAACTGGTAATTCAGTGATGCAACGGGGACCAAGAGCGAAATGGCCACAGGCTTGACTTGCTTAGCATAAAAGCATGGTTTGCTGGATTGCTGTGCCAGGTCAGAAAACTATGAATTATCATTTCTATTTACTCAAGCAGTGATAAATTAGGTTCTTCTCCTCATGGGCTTGATCTTGCAGCCCATTACTGAAAGGGGAAGAGTCTAACAAACAAGAAGCTCAACTGGCATGTAAATTGCAATGCTGCCTCTTGTTTATTACTGGTATTAAATGGGCTGGCGATGGATGAAGGTTGACTTGTTTAATGCTTTTCAGGACTTGTTCACTCTGACAATGAATGAGCGTTTCAGTCTTGATGGTGGTTATGTTGGTGAGTAATGCTCATTTCTCATTATTTCTGTGCAAGTTGTAAAGACGATGGGCATACCAGTTACCTTAATAAACAGGCACACAAACGGTGAAAAGATTTCAGATGAGTAAGATAAAACACAGTTCATTTTAAAGGCTGTGAAAGTTAAAATAGCATGAGTGAACCTTCTGAAAACAAATTATTGTAACCAGTGATATTTTTCAGGAATCTTCGAATGGTTTCTTGGTAGAAGAGATGGTATGTGGATGGGCTTTCTTACAAGAACAGTATTAGAGAATGCCACAAGGTATTCCCCCCACCTAAATATTCTACTGCTTTAATCTGCTTTGCTTTCAGCTGGCATGAATACTGTAGATGTATGCTTAGTGTCTAATGATACAGATATCTTCCTAGAAGCCTTAACATTAGGTAGTTCTGGGTTTGCTGGTACTCTGGTGGGGAGGGAGGCATCACACACTATCCCTTAAAACTCCTCAAATTGTTTTCTCAGATTTTTTTTTCCCTAATGAACCTATTGGTATCGGAATGCGTAACAGCATTCTGCATCAAACCACATCCAACAGGTAGTAGTATATTACAGGAAAGCTCTCATGCAATAAATGAATTAGGTGGAGTATGACACAGCATGTCATCATTTTATTCCTGTTTTAAATGTAGAAAAAGTGCAAAGAGCACCTCTCAACAACCATACTTTAAGTACAAAGTGAGTGGAGGAGCTTTGCTTAAATGTGTTCCTTCCTTGTGATACAGTCTCCTCATATGTGCATGAAAGGGGAAGAAAGGTGTAACTACGCAAACTTCTCCTGGGTCTGTGAAACTCATTCTTCAGTACTTGAACCGTTCATAGCGTTTAATAGTCCGACACTACTTTGTTATCTGCAGTTACCAGGATGCAAAAGACAAACTGGCAAAAACAAGACTGCTGGCTCCGGCTTACTTTATACTGGGTGGAAAAAATTCTGGAGAAGGGTGTGTGATAACTCGTTCCAGGACAGCTACTCTGGATATCTGGGAGTGAGTATGCTTGACCTGACACCTGACCCAGCCTTCCAGAAGAGGACAGGTTCCACCAATATTTGTGTCCTATGTTTCTTGTGACTTCTGTTGTGCAAGAACTCACTTCTTCAGCATCACTGAAAAATACCACAGCAAGCCTAAAAAAAAATCCAGCTGTGTATAGTATATACTATATATGTACTAACTATATACTTAGAGAAGCAAAACACAAACATACACCTCTTTTCCAGCCTTGATATCAAGAAAGGCACGTGGTACGTGTTAGAAACAAACTACGATCGCTGGAAGCCTCCGCTAATCTTGGATAATCGTAGAACACCTGCAATGAAATGCCTGAACCAGACAACGCAAGAGGTAAACATCCTCCCGATACCTCATCTTGCTGTTCTGAAGCTCCCGCGTTACAGTACTGATCTGACAGCCAGGAGCATTCAGGGCATTTGCAAGCACAGCTGTAATGACAGAAGTGGCTAATGGTTTTGTGACAGTTTGTCTGTGCTTCTGGGTAATAAAGTACCAGGTGGCTCTTTACACAAATGTTTTTTAGTTTTAGGCTTTCTCTTCATCTAGGTGGGTTTCCTGCAAGCATTTTCTGCAGCTGCATATGCAGGGGGATAAACCTGGAGATACTTTGAGAGAGATTGTCATTGTTTCCTCAGCTGTTTTATCACCAGTGAAATTCAAACACACATAGTCAGGCAGCAAACACTGGCACTCAAGTGTCCCATGGTGTACTGAGATCTGCTCTGCTCAAGTTTTTGCAACCCATGTTCTTCTAGTATCAAGATGTACTCTTAAAGCTTTATCTTATTATCTAATTGAGCAGTGAAAAGTTACAATTGTCAGCATTTACACTAACAGGTTAATGGAAA